TCATTTCTATGCCAGAAAGTACATATCTCACAATAGTTTTTGTTAATCTTTACAGATCAAACAAACCAGAACTAGTAATGTAATATCAAGTTGAGAATCAATAGAAAAATCATAATGTGAAATTATTAAGCAAAGCTGTACCCCAAAAGTTTTCTAACTCAGGTCACTAAAAGGCAAATTGGGTTTAAAATGTTGTTAACATTGAATAAATCAAGAAACATTTAGAAAAATAACCCACAAAATTTACTAATTAGTCGGTTTAGCATTCACTCAACTCTAAGAAAATAGCGAAGCAGACAAAACGAGGACTTATACTTGGCCCAATGACATGCATGTAAATTGTGTTAATTTGTCCTCATATTTGCTTCTTTTTTCATGTTTATTTTATGCTTTTTGGAAGGTTTTCGTGTTGTGTTGCAGGATTCAGAGAAATATGTTGATCGAGGCTCGAAATATCACGAAATGGAGCAAAGCGGTTGGATCGACGCCTAAACGCCCAAGGAGGTCTAAATCCAGCAATTTCTGCCCCCTAGATAGACAAACTGGAAAGTAGCACCAGAAACGTGGAAGTATGCACCAGCCTACCAGCGCCTTGGCGCCCGAAGCAGGCCAGATCCATGCACAAGGCAGAGCGGCTAGAAACTAGGAGCCGCAATAGTGGGAGCCTAGGCGCCCTTTGCCTTTGGGCTCCAAGGCACCGAATACCATCCAAAAATCGTTTAGAATATAGAGAGTCTGGAAAGTAGACTTCACGACTGGAACGAGTAAGCGCTACACCTTGAGCTTCTAGGCGCCCAAAGCCCTAACTCTAGATTGTGTAACCAACAGCTAGGTGCCGCATCGGGCGTCAAGACGCCAGTTTACGCAAATTGATAGTTTCAACAGTTAGGACATGCCTCTTTGACGGGAGAAATATTAAACACTATAAACAAAGAAGGATGGGCCTTCTTTGTCCTTTTGGAGAGTGGAGAACTCATGGAAAAGGCTGGAGAAGATCTACAACTTGCTTTTGAGTGAAGGAGAGTGATTAGGAGATTGAGAGTGTGTGAGAGTGCTTGTAACTTCATCAATCTACATGGGATTGGAAGAAGACAAGTATTTAGAGTTTTTGTTGGTTTTTAGTGGAATAATTCATCAGACTCTTTGTGTATAATTTCTTCTTTTAATACAATGTTTGTGTTGATGAAATCTAGCATGAATGGGGAGTAGATTGTTCTCCTTTGTTTTCGAAGTGTAGGGATGTTTGTTTTGCACTGCATTGTGATTCTTGGTGAGAACTTTTAAATTGTGTTGATTTAACTTTGAAATCTTTAATTACATTTAACCTGGCTAGTTAATTCGTCAAATCATTTCATGAACTTGGAGATTCATAAGAAATCTGAGAGGAACAATTAAATTAATTATATGAATTCATTAGAATAGGAATATTGCCTTTGAAATTATTCAAAATAGATAGGAAGAGTGTATGTCTTGGGCCTTTCACTGAATTTAGGGAACTAAAATAGTGAAATTGTCAAACTTCCTTAGACTACCAGAAGGGGATAAGGACAATTTTTCTCATGTTTGGCACCATTTGTTGAATCACTTTGTTAACTTACATACCTACATAACCATTTCAAAGGAGATTTTTGTCTGCATCTAAAACACTGAATCTTTTATTCTTTGTCATGATAGCATAGGTTTCAATCACTTTTAAAGTTAGGATAGAAAATTTTCTGAACCTTCAAAACTCAAACCATTCAGGTTAGGACCGATGTTAGTAAACTAGAACTTTTTCGTCTAGAAATTTAGCTCGTTCCCCTTGAGATCAATAACGGAACTCAATTTTGTACACTATTGATATGACACGTATAGCACTTGGTTCGTACCACCCCATAACCACTTCAGCTAACCTATGACTCTACTATGAACTTGGCCCATCGATTCACCAAAATCTTAAATAATTCGCCAAGCATATAATGAACTTGCTAAATACAACTAATGAAGTCTCCTCCTCAAAGATTAGTTTAGAGATTATCATGAACTAATTCTAGCTATGTAAGTTTACTTGTATTATTCAAATGTAGCATTTTCTGTAGCATTTAACTCAGACCTAAATCTTGGTTAACTCAAATCACATCAGTTTCTAACTTGTAACAACAATTTAGTGCAAATCCAAGAGCTTCTCCCTATAAGTTATTTTTCTCTTCCTCTCTCTTAATTTCAGTCACCCACAAACAGTTTAGAATCCAACAAGAGCATCATGCCATTACAGTCAGCAACAAAGCTGCAAATTTGTCACAAGCAATTGAGTAAAGACAACTGAGACTTCCACCTCAAATCAACATCCCGAGACAGAGAACAACATAGAATCAAAACCGGAAACAGCTTATTGCTTGCATTTTCTACAATTTACGTTTAATTTTTAAAGGCAAAATCCAAACCTGCATCGTCGCATCTTCCACTGCTCTCTTCCTCAGCCAAGTCCCCCAACTCCTTCCCGCCCGCATTCAGTAAGTCGACCTCCATCATTGTGAGATCAACGATTCAAACTTTTCCCTTCTCTCTCTCTCTCTCTCTCTCTCTCACACACACACATCTCCCTCTCTCTCACACACACACACACACACACACACACACACACACATCAAAAAGGCACAAGTTACAGAAGAATGATTGCCTCCTCCACTGTTGAAGAAAACGTTCTTGTGCGCCGAATCGGCAGAGGTGGCCAAGGGAAGGTGGGGCAGTGGCTGGTGTCACATGGGTGGTGACTGAAGAGTGATGTGGGGGATTACCGGTTGAGGCCGGTCACTGCTCCGTCTGTTTGGTGGCAGGTGCATCGGCAACTTATACTTATACTCGGCAGAAGTTGATTCGGATAAGTTGTCTTGTGTCTGTTTGGTGGCAGGTGCATCGGCAACTTATACTCGTAAGCTACTCGGCAGAAGTTGATTCAGATAATTTGTCTTGCTAAGTTGTCTTGTTGTTTGATTTGAGCGTTTGGAAAATAGTTAATTTGTAGTTGTTTGTAGATAAATGATCATTCCACCCTTGAACTGAATAAGTTGTTAAGTTGTTTGGTTTCTGAGGTTTGGAAATAGCTGATTTGAAGTTGTTGGTGGAAAAATGATCATTTCAGTCACGCACAGTGGAGCTATTTGCAACAGTAATATAATAAAACCACATTCAATTTACTCAAATCTAAAAAAACACTACATAACAGTTCAAAGAAAAAAAAATCTACTGCTCACTCAAGAGAGACTATCTACAACCTATTAAAAAACAAAAAAAAACAACATAACAAAATTACAACCATAACAAAATTACAACTAAAATTATGATAACATTCATTTTAAAATGTAGAAATGGCATGTCTGGAGCAACGTTCTCTATAAAAAAATGCAGAAGAATGACGTTAGTGATAAGAAAAGTTGTAATGAAATATTTATAAGAGAAAAACGATGAGGATTGTGTTATGTTGTGTATTGATTCAAACAATACAAAATATAATATTGTTTTTATTTTTTCTTCCTAAATGGAGAAATAAAGTTGACAAAAGTTGAATGAAGTGGCTAGCAATTAAGGTGTTAAAGGAAGTAAATATTACATTTTTGGTGTAAGAAATATAAATGCATATGAATTTACTTTCCCAGTCCTATTTATAAATCATCTCAGTGGCTAGCAACAAAAAAAATGAAATAAGCCACTTCATTTACATCCAATCAAATACAATGCATAACTATGTTTGCTGTTTAGAATCAATCAAATGGGGCATGTAGAAGAATTTGTAATAGTTCCTTGCAAAGCAAGTAAATACAAGGAGAGCCTCGTCCAAGTTAATCACATTTACACAAGAAATATCAATGTTTGGTGACTAGAAATGAACTAGGCACATTTCCCTCCCTCATCTTATACGGTTGGTGTTAACGAAGTTGCTTTTAAAGAAAACTTTTATATTTAAAGAAGATATAGAAGTTGGAAAACAGGAGAAGATATACAAGTTGGAATCCCAATTATAAGAATCCATGTGACGCCAGAACAATGGAGAAGATATACAAGTTGTTGGAAAACTGCGCAAGAGGAGTGAACTGATAGGAGCATTCAATATATGTTAGTTCCCTACAAATTTTGCATCAAATGCTCTATCAAATGGTCAAATACATCTTATTACAGAGACAAGATTGGATGAAAACATCCTGAAACATATATATACTCAATATAAGAAATACCTTATACTTGGGGTAATAAATTGATTCATAATAATCCATAAATCTGTCTTGAAAAGGTGTAGTGAACATTTATATTCAAGTTTACTTAGCGAAATTTAAGCAATTCAAAAGAGCTAAACCATTTCCAAGCATAACAAATGGATTTAATGACTATTCAAGTTTACTTAGCGAAATTTAAGCAATTCAACAGAGCTAAACCATTTCCAAGCATAACAATTGGATTTAACACTATATCACTTGTTTATGCCATATTGATGGAGAGATTCGGACATGGGGCTACGAATCCATCTTTTAATAAACAGGCAATCTGTGTACATTTCCTGAATGCCGAAACAGGTGCTGAAGGGAAGAAATCCATTACTAATTAGAGAACCACGTTAACCTGCTCGCAGATTATAATGTACTTCATTCCGAATTCACAATGACGCAAGCCCAGAATCAAGAATTTCATGAAAGTAGACGAGATTGAAGTTTATTTACAGATTCAACATATCCTAGGTATGGATGATTCAGGTATCAGAGCAATCTCAGCAGTGTTTGAATTGCTCGGTCTAATTCGATTGACACCTGAATCATCTATGTTATGTAATCTCTGCTTGGTTCACATTAATCCGCAGCTCTGCGGGCAAGGCTGCAGCTGTGTACAATTCAAATTGCAATTTTTCCAAGGACTGAAAATATCATAAATGAAAATTATTTTTATAGTTTAGTTTGTTTAATTAATTTGACTTTTATTTTATGTAATTTATTTAACAAAGAACATTTTTTTCATAAACTTTATAAAACCGTAATTATGTATTCTGCAAATCAATAAATTTTCACAAAATTAGAATTATTTCTTGCAACTCTACACAAGGAATATTCATTGGGCGGACAAAGTCAGGCACCATGAGTCCTATCAGCCAGAAGTATTTGTTCTAGTTATAGTCACATTTATGTACCTAGACTTATAAAAAGACATAAAATAATTTATAACTTTCAGATTTGTACTGTAAGTCATCAAGTATCAGTGAGATAGGAACCATGGGTCCATGAGGTAGGAACCATGAGGGAGGGTTAGAAAGAGAGACAGAGAGGGAGAGAGAACGAGAGAATGGATAGTGACTTCTACCTATGAAGCAAATTGGGGTATCCCTGAGCTCCGTGGCCCATTTTATATATTGGAAGTGACAATTACAAGAGAAAATGAGAGAGAATTCTCCTTATAGATGATGATTATAGAGATAAGAGTAAAAAATTATATGATTGTCCCTGCTTTAATAGGTGCGTTATAGATTATTGTTGTCTTTTTTCAAGTCTGGTTCTTCTGGTCTTCATGTCCTTGGTTTGGGCAACTAAACGGTTTTCATTTAGCTTTCGTCTGGGCATCGGTCGGCCTTTGCTCAGAGAAGTTAATTGGTTTGTTAGTGTGGTAGTCAGTTAGCCTTAGGGCAACTGTTGGCTTGCCTAATTATTATTTCTTGGTGATCTTCAAAGATCCTTGGGGGAGCTGTTGAGAGAGCGTCACGTTGATACTTGTAAGATTGTTGGAAGTGTTAGACCTTTATCCGGTCATTGGCATGGATGTCTGCTCTTGATTGGCATGGGTGGCCCTTTGATCGTCTGACCTTCAATCGGTCGGTAACCGGTCGGTTAGTGGTCTTCAGCCAGTCGGATTCATGAGAAATTGTAGCTTTTTGGTATGAGGGGATGCTTGTCATTTATCTTTTGATTGTACTGTTATATCTTCTAGAGATTCATGTAGATCATTCTTGAATGTACAACTTTAAAAATTTAAGGTAGTTTACATAACACATAATTTCTATTGTACAACAAAAATATGTCAAAGTTGATCATAAAGAGATCTAACAGTCTATAGCAAAAGAGTATGATGAATGAGGGTCCACCAATAGAAGATCATGAGGCCCACTTATCCGACTGAATGCAGTCATCCGAGCCAATGCCAAAGTCAACTGGATGCAGTTGTCTAAGCCAAAGCCAAAGCCGACCAAGCCATGATGAGGATGAAAAGACGATCAAGTGATTAAATCCCGAACCACTTGGATTGAAATGAGACAAATAGGCATCTGAGCTAACCACTACAAGAAAAATAAAATGCACAATAAAGGTAAAATGAAAAGAATAAAGGTGAAATTTATCGAAAAACTTGCCTTCATTCATGATAGAAAATTTTAAAACTTTTCTAACTTTTCTTTACAAGTATTCAAAAAGAAAAAAAAAAGAAGGGAGAAATTTTTCTAAGTTACAGATGAAGCTGAAGGTGAATCACACATTCAAAAACCCTCCATCGTCTTCACCACTATCCTCTTCCTCCCTCTCCTCCAAGTCCGAAAGCAAGGTGGAAAATTTATCCATATCAGTTCACCAGGAAGTGACCAACTTCACTTTCACCTTCATGTCGATGTCGAAGGCCACTCCTTCCCTGAGCTGCATAACGAGAAGTTCCACCTGATAAGGGTGAGAAGATAGTTTAGCAAAGAGCTCACCAGATGTTTTCATCATAGTCATCTTCTCTTTCAGGGCTTGGTCTCTCCAAGAATAGCTGACAAAAAACTCTATTATTCTAAGCACTTCGGATTCAGTTGCCTTCGCTTGTTTCTCTATTATGTTTGACCCCTTTCTTCTACCCCTAGTTATTCTTCATTTACTCAAGAGAAGCGTCCTAAGCCATTAGTTGATACTAGGGCTGTCAAAACACCTCGTTGTTCGCGAATAGCTCTTGAATTCATTTGTTGAGCAAAAGAGCCGAACACGAACATTTTATTTGTGCTCAATAAATAAATGATGAAGACGGACAAAGATTTGCTCATTCATATTTGGCTCATTTTGGCTCAATATATATATATAATTGACTACAAGGCTACAAAGATTTATAATCAATTAAAATTAAAAATTAAAAAATAGAATAAAAATCATTAAATTATATTTAAATGATGTTTTAGTATAAACAATAAGATTTAATTCTTGCCTCAACCATTAACATCGTATGTCTGCGTGATTAGGATTATCAAAACGACTCTTTGTTCGTGAACAACTCGTGTCCGACTCGCTAAGCAAACAAGCCGAACACAAACATACTTTTTGAGCTCGAAATATAAATATTGATTCCCCACGGAATATTTGGTCCAGTGGGCACCAAATATGACCAAATATTCGGTGGGGAATCGAACCCCCTAATTTAAGCATTAAAAGTCGTATTGTACTTATGAATTAGTTATAATAGTATTTTTATATAATAATTAAATTTTAAATATTTTACATGTAAATATGAAAGTCGATATGTAAATAAATAAGAATTGTGTGGTACATATGTAAATTCCAGTATAATTATTAAATTATTAAAATATCTTGACTT